AGATAAGAATAAATTTAGTAAGAATCAAAATATCCTAGATGATATAATAAGAATTCAGTTTATAGTTTTCGTTAAGCAATTATTTCATACTTTCTTTTAGCCTCTTCATAGCTCACTTTGGTAGAGTATTTTTTTAAATGAAGTATCATTTAATTTCAATTAATATAAATATTAATTGATAACAGTTTTTATGACACTTCAATAAATATTTGTGACACTAAACTCAAAATTTTTATAATATTCAAATAAATAAATGATGTGTATTTATAACTGAAAATGAAAAAAAACTTTTAAAAATAAGAACTTACCTAGCTTGAAAGTGAGATGAAAAGTAGAATCTGATAAAGAAATAATAAAAGTAAATATTAGATATTGATTGTAATTTTATTTCAATTTTGTTGATAAATTATCAAAATCACTTTTACTTAAAGCCATCTAACAAGTAACTTCCTTTTTGTTTGAATAATGTCTTTAAATCAATACCAGATTAATTTATAAATTCTCCTTTCAGAATTAAAGCTCCTTTAGCTTGAAATTATACCTTTTGGGATATAAGGAGTGTAGTTATGTAATTAAAAACTAAAATTATAAAAATATCAATAATACCTTCTAAAGTAGGATTAGTTTATGAGTTTGGTATCTTAAATTATATTAATAGATCTTTGTAAATTTCATTAGAGGATTAAATTTCTGATCCTGTTTTGACATCCCAAAGACGGATAGAGTCATCATAAATACCATAAACGAATTTATTTCCATCATGAGAAAAACAGACTGAGTAGACAGTGCTAGTATGACCATCTAATTAAACTTTTTAATATCCTGTTTTGATATCCCATAGTCGGATAGACTAATCTACACTACCAGAAGCTAATGTATTTCCATCAGGAGAAAAACAGACTGACATTACATAATGTTCATGACCATCTAATTTGGCTTTTTATTATCCTGTTTTGACATCCCAAAGACGGATAGAGTTATCATAACTACCAGAAGCTAAAGTATTTCCATCAGGAGAGAAACAGACTGACATTACATAATGCTTATGACCATCTAATTTGGCTTTTTATTATCCTGTTTTGACATCCCAAAGACAGATAGAGTTATCATAACTACCAGAAGCTAATGTGTTTCCATCAGGAGAGAAACAAACAGAGTAGACAATGCTAATATGACTATCTAATTTTGCTTTTTATTATCCTGTTTTGACATCCCAAAGACGGATAGAGTTATCATTACTACCACAAGCTAATGTATTTCCATCAGGAGAAAAACAGATTGACATTACATAATGTTCATTACCATCTAATTTGGCTTTTTATTATCCTGTTTTGACATCCCAAAGACGAATAGAGTTATCTTCTAATTCATAAGAATTTCCTCTTCCACCTGCAGATGCTAATGTATTTCCATCAGGAGAGAAACAGACTGATTAGACAGTGTTAGTATGACCATCTAATTTGGCTTTTAAGTATCCTGTTTAGACATCCCAAAGATGGATAGACTTATGAAAACCACCAGAAGCTAATGTATTTCCATCAGGAGAGAAACAGATAGAGTAGACAATGCTAATATGACCATCTAATTTTGCTTTTTATTATCCTGTTTTGACATCCCAGAAAAAAATATCTCGATAACTACCAGAAGCTAATATATGTCCATCAGGAGAGAAACAAACTGAGAAGACAGTACTAGTATGACCATCTAATTTGGCTTTTAATTATTCTATTTAGACATCCCAAAAACGGATAGAATTATCACTACTACCAGAAGCTAAAGTATTTCCATCATGATGGAAACAGACTGAGTAGACATATCCACAATGACCATCTAATTTGGCTTTTTATTTTCCTGTTTTGACATCCCATAGACGGATAGATTTATCACTACTACCAGAAGCTAATGTATTTCCATCATGAGAGAAACAAACTGAACTGATATAAGAAGTATGACCATTTAATTTAACTTTTTATTATCCTGTTTTGACATCCGATAGACGGATAGATAAATCGCCACTGCCAAAAGCTAATGTATTTCCATTAGGAGAGAAACATACTGAGGTGACGCTAGTCTCGTCATCCAATTTGAATATTTTTTTCTTACTCTTCGCATCCCATAAGCGCAGAGATTAATCTTCACTACCAGAGGCTATTATAATTCCATCAGGAGAGAAACAGACTGATTTAACATTTCCAGTATGACCATCCAATTTGGCTTTTGATTATCCTGTTTTGACATCCCAAAGACGGATAGACTTATCAAAACTACCAGAGGCTAATGTATTTCCATCAGGAGAGAAACATACTGAGTAGACATCATTAGTATGACCATCTAATTTTGCTTTTTATTATCCTGTTTTGACATTCCATAAACGGATAGACTTATCTCTACTTCCAGAAGCTAATGTTTTTCCATCAGGAGAGAAACATACTGAGTAGACATCATTAGTATGACCATCTATTTTTGCTTTTTATTATCCTGTTTTGACATCCCAAAGACGGATAGACATATCAAAACTACCAGAGGCTAATGTATTTCGATTAGGTGATATGCAGACTGATTTGACGCCATCACTATGACCATCTAATTTATTCAATTCATGGATCTTAATATTCTTCCATTTACAATTGAATAATATAGCGCCATTCAGATTTATTCCACTTATGTTGACATTATTGAACTATGATCCACTAAAATTGCACCTTACAAAATTTGCTCCTACTAAAGAAGTATTTTAGATCTTAATATTTTCAAAATTTTTGTTTCTGAGGTCCACCTTCATCTAAACTAATACATGTAATGAATTAGACCCACATTAAACCAACTTTTCATCAATGGATGTGAGGTGAACTAAAAATAAAAGAAATTTAATGATCCTTCTATTATCCTTGATGCTTTTGATAATACTTAATGTAGATTCTTCATTTTCTTCAGAGGAAAAGTCTTTATAATTGAAGTCATGATCCTTTAATTTTTTTATGCCAGCTGTAATTAATTTCATGTCATTTCCAATAACAGACAATTATTATTATTTATCAATTTAGCTGTTATTCTCTACTTGTTATAAGATTTATGATTCTAAATACTTTTGATTTCCATTATTAGAAAGATATCTAATACAATCTTAAGCTTTATCTTTTAGAAGCATTTCTAATACGACACCTAAGATTTATTCATCTACATCCTTAACTTAACTAAATATGTAAGCAATGGCTTCCTAAACTTAAAAAGAGCCTTGCATTTTCTTATTAATTTTAATATTGAATTTCTATGACTCTAATTTTCAGTTATATACTGCAAAATCAATACAATATTTTATGTATTTTTCTACAATAGTAGTTTGGACTTTTTTTCATTGATGTAAAATATGCTATTGATAGATCATTTCAACATATGAATTGCTTTCTTCTTAAATAATATGGAATAATTATTTTTAATGAATAATTTAATTTCTACAAAAAATTGATTTCTATGATAATGATTTTTTCTTCAAAATCATTACTTTCTGAAATCTTGTCCTCTTTTTATTTGTCATAATGTCCTTTTTCATGAGAGAATATCAAAAAAATGCACTTGAATATTAATGTAATTAAAAATGTTCTATTACTATGAAAATTTTAGAGAGGTATTTTAATAGATTTTTGAAAATCTCATTATTTATATTTGATAACAACTTGGGTAAATAACCTAACAAGAAAAAGGGCTTACACAATTTCGAATTATTACTCAGATTAATAATAATGATTTCTCTATTTATTTTCCAGAATACTTATCTTCTCATATCTATGACCTCCAATATAATATGGGGGGTTTGGCTGCCCTTGTTTAAATAGAGGGATCTTTATAGTCTAAAGTAGAGAATGATGTGAAGAGGATATTCTTAAGTAATCTCATACAAATCAGTAGTAAATAACCTTAATTTTAAAGCAACTCAAATTCACGACATTAATAATCAATGGATTATTTGAGGAATTCTCAAAATTAATAATCAAATCTGAATGCCAAAAATAAAATTTCTCTAAACCTTATTAAAGTTAATGAATAATTGATCAATTATAATTTTTTAATCATTAACGTAAACATATATAGATCTTTCATTTTTTAGATATGAAAAATTAAAATATTTTAACACTATCCATAATTTTTTGGGTAATTTCTTAGTGAATTAATTTAAATTTAAAGATGAGTTTATCTAAAGAATATAGTTTTAATAACTTAAGAAGTGTTCAGGGATATTTTTGTATATATAGTATTTAATATAGTGAAAATCCTCTTGAAAGTAACATTGATTATACATCAACTCAGGGATTTATAATTGTTTATAATTTGGTAGATGTAAAAATTTAAGTTTTGAGCTAAAGTTATTGTTCATTATTAATTATTTAGATGAAATTCTTATAAAAGAATTAGATGAATTAGTCAATAAATTTTAAATACGATTAAAATTATTAATTGAAATATAACTTAAAGCTGAAGTAATATATAATAAAGTAACTGGTTACTTTAGAGCATTTTCAAAATATATATGCATAAAGTTATTATAATATTTAAAATTTTCCATTAAAACATCACTTTTTTTATCTGAAATAATGGTTAATAATTTAAAGATTAAACTTAACTAAGTAATTATTATTTGAAGAATGGATAAACAAATTATGTATAAAAGATTTCCATAAAATTCAATATTGTTTATGAATATTGAACCAAAGTTATAATTTTGATTTACCTGAAACTATTTCTATCAGTGATTCATCAACGCAGGATTATTTTATAATTTTGCATTTTTCTATTTAAATTTTATCAAACCCCATCATTAAAATTAATTGATTTTATAGATTTTATCGTTATAAACAATTCTTTGAAACAAAGACCTTTTAATAAACCTTTTAATTCTCAAAATGAAATTGTTTAGTGTTATATCTTCATTATCATAAAGATTTAAAATAATTATTTCTTAGTTATTGCTAATAATAAAGTTATTTAAACTTAATGTTTTACTGTTAATATTAAATATTTAACTTTATTAATTTTTTTTAATTGATCTAATGTTTTATAAGATTTGAACAGATGTAATAGAAATTAACAATTTATTTGAATAAGAATTTGAAAATATATGAAATTAATTAATACTTTGAAGTACATTATTTTCTACAATAAGTTCAAAAATAGAACATTAAGTGATTTTGTCGATTATTATTTCAATTGTTTATAAGAATTGGGATTCAATAAATATATTTTCTTTAATTTGAATGTAATGAGCAGATAAACTATAACTAAATCCAAATATTATTGAATTTTCTATTCTATTTATATCCAATATAACATTAGTTAAGACTATATTAATTAATAATTTATGAGCAAAAAGGAAATATGAAAGTTGAAAATAATTGTTTTTAATTACAATATTTTTCATCTAGAATGTTGTTACTTTAATGTAATATAAATAAAAAGTAAAAAGATAAGCATTTTAGTATACATATGAATCTAAAGTTAAATTTAGAATTCGAATATTTTATAATCTTTTTTAAAATTAGAAAAATTAGGAATATATAAATGTACAATTTACAATATATAAGGTATCAATAGTCATTTATCCTTGTAATTATAATAGTTAAAAATTAAATAATGAAGAATTTTTAATAATTGTATTTATAATTGAAAAGTATTATAAATTGATTTAGCCAAATTATTCAGCATAAAATAAAAATATAACATTANTTTCCATTAAAACATCACTTTTTTTATCTGAAATAATGGTTAATAATTTAAAGATTAAACTTAACTAAGTAATTATTATTTGAAGAATGGATAAACAAATTATGTATAAAAGATTTCCATAAAATTCAATATTGTTTATGAATATTGAACCAAAGTTATAATTTTGATTTACCTGAAACTATTTCTATCAGTGATTCATCAACGCAGGATTATTTTATAATTTTGCATTTTTCTATTTAAATTTTATCAAACCCCATCATTAAAATTAATTGATTTTATAGATTTTATCGTTATAAACAATTCTTTGAAACAAAGACCTTTTAATAAACCTTTTAATTCTCAAAATGAAATTGTTTAGTGTTATATCTTCATTATCATAAAGATTTAAAATAATTATTTCTTAGTTATTGCTAATAATAAAGTTATTTAAACTTAATGTTTTACTGTTAATATTAAATATTTAACTTTATTAATTTTTTTTAATTGATCTAATGTTTTATAAGATTTGAACAGATGTAATAGAAATTAACAATTTATTTGAATAAGAATTTGAAAATATATGAAATTAATTAATACTTTGAAGTACATTATTTTCTACAATAAGTTCAAAAATAGAACATTAAGTGATTTTGTCGATTATTATTTCAATTGTTTATAAGAATTGGGATTCAATAAATATATTTTCTTTAATTTGAATGTAATGAGCAGATAAACTATAACTAAATCCAAATATTATTGAATTTTCTATTCTATTTATATCCAATATAACATTAGTTAAGACTATATTAATTAATAATTTATGAGCAAAAAGGAAATATGAAAGTTGAAAATAATTGTTTTTAATTACAATATTTTTCATCTAGAATGTTGTTACTTTAATGTAATATAAATAAAAAGTAAAAAGATAAGCATTTTAGTATACATATGAATCTAAAGTTAAATTTAGAATTCGAATATTTTATAATCTTTTTTAAAATTAGAAAAATTAGGAATATATAAATGTACAATTTACAATATATAAGGTATCAATAGTCATTTATCCTTGTAATTATAATAGTTAAAAATTAAATAATGAAGAATTTTTAATAATTGTATTTATAATTGAAAAGTATTATAAATTGATTTAGCCAAATTATTCAGCATAAAATAAAAATATAACATTAAAGATGCTACTATTCATTATTGCACAATCAATTAATGATAAATCAACATCATTATGAATATTCAATAATTCAATATTGTGCTACAAATGTTCTTGAAATATAAAACTAAAATTAATAAAAGTTACCCTAAAGTAATCTTCAATATTATTAAATTTATAAAAACAAGAAAGAATGGATTAAAATAGTTAACTATGATATTTATATTGCTTAGTGTAAAGATGTCTACTTTTATTGATGCCTTACTTTTCAATGTTGGAACTATTTAACAAAAATCCTCTTTGAAATCAAATTATAAGTAACAATTAAGTGTATTTATTCCAATGTGATTAAAATATTCTGTATTGATATTGTAAAATGAAGAGTTGTTGGAAATCTGTGGAAAAAGAAATTATTTACATAAAATTCTAATTCAAATTCGCGATGGCAAATACCATCAAAAAAATATTAAGTTATTTTTTGGTAAAGATCATGAAAAACAAAAGGATACTTAATAGGTAAAATACATTATTATATATGAATAAAATTTATTCATTCATTTAAAATAAAGGATTAATAGTGTAAATATATATAATATTTGAATATACTTTAATCTCTTCAAGAGAACGTGCTCTACAAATCTAGCAAAGTCGAGGACATTCAGGACAATAAAGTCCATTTTAGATTTTTATCTAATCACCCAAATAGTTTAATGTACATAGTTCACAAATATACTATTAATCATCATTTTTGCATTACAGACATGAACTTCCACATTTGTTAATATATATTTCTAGATAATCTGAACCTTTCTTAAATTAATATATTAATAAAGAGGCTTAAATTTATTAATCCCACATATGTTGAAAATAATTAATTTAAAATTCTTCATTCATGTATAATGTATATATTTAACAATTTAAAATTTAATCATCACAATTATTAATTGTTCTTGATACTTTAAAATTATTCAAGGTAGATATTAAACATGTTTCTTCTAATTATTTTAGATATGATGTTAAACAATATTATATTCTTGGTATCTAATTAACACATAATCAAACATATAACCATCTTAAAATTACAGAAAAACAATTTTAATTAACTACAAATCCTCACCAACAATATCTAAATCATATGTAGTAAGTGCACTATTTTTCTCATAACCATAATAATTATATTCAAAACAGAATAAGCTATAATTAATAGGGCATATCTTACATAATCTAGTATGAATTGCAAAATAAGGTTTGACAAGATTAATAAATAAGCGTAATTTGTTTGTTATAGTTACATAATCCATTAACTATAATAAAATTTTCTTATCATTTCAAACAAACTATTCCATCCATATCAATGCCACATTTATCACAATAATTAATATTACAAATTGTACATTTTTATTCTTCATAAAAATCTATTAAAGTAATACAAAATGATTAAAACCTCATAGTTTATTATACAAACAGTGTGTAAATGGTATCTTCATATTACAATTCTTGTGAACTACTCAGGGATATAAAACTCTCACGAATTATTAGATCAGATCCATCATAATAATACTAAAATGAATGAGAGTAAATAATAGGATTTTGATTCTACAAAGATATTGGAAAATAAATATATTTTTACACATATCGCTTGAGAAGTCCAATCCTTTCCTTATGAAAAAAATTCAAAACATGTAATCAAATCATCTATTACTCTAGAAAGACTATGATGAATTATTGAATAATATACCATCTTTCACAATATCCTTCTAATTCAAAATAACCTGCTTTACTTTAATTATTCAATTTAATATATATTTATATATTTGATTATTTATTATTCTTTGGTGAATTAATTTAATATAATTATTTTCTATTGAATATCCAAAAATAATTGTTTGGTAGAAACCAATCATATCCAAAGTTAAGTTGCTTCATTTCATTTTTATAAAGAATCAATATAGTTGAGATTATTTAATATCACTAGTATTTCTTGATTACCAAAAAATATTTAGTTTATGATTTGAAACAATTAAGATTGTAAATCCATTTTCAATCTAAAGAAATAAAAATTTTGACAAAAAGCTTATCTCTTTAATAATTAATTAATATAAATTTTTTTTATTTTAGATAACAAAATCAAAAATCAACATTTCTTTATTTTATTTATTCTCAACTACAATTCAAAAGAAAATTAAAAAGATAGACAATATAAATAAGTCTTTAATATTGATCAGTTCAAAAATTTGGAGGTATCAAAATAATATTAACATAAATTTATTATATAAATAATATGACTGATATTCAATTTAAATATTAGTATCATCTCAAAATATAGCATATAATTTAAGTTTATAATCCACTCATTATCATAGTGAATATAAATTAATCATATAATTTAGAGATTTCATAATTATCATTAGGTTATGAATTAATTCTATAAGATATTTCTTTAGGATTTCCCCTCAAAAGGTCGAATATTTTGATTTAATAATGATTAATTTGATTTTCAATTTTTAAAAATGAATTTTTATAAACTCCAAATTCATTATAAGATATATTACCAGAATCTCCATAAAGATTCTTTATTCTTCTTAATAATTTTCCACTATGTAATAATCTAACAGAATATTCTGTTTCATGAATATTTTCTTATTCAATTATAATACAATTTTTAAAAATGATTAATTATGTTAGAAAATCAGTTTATTTTTTTCTTTATTTAATAATTTTACAATTTTCAAGATAAATTATATATTGGTATAACTCTGTACTTATTAAGGCAAACTTCTATAAAAATGATTTGAAATATAGAATGAAATTAAAATTGAATTTAAGGTATATTTCTTTTTCCTATTTCTAATTGATCTATTCTACATTGATATGAAATATTTTCTTATCTTTATTTAAATAATAACTATTAATTGTATCCATCTAACAAATCAAATATGTATCTTCTACATTGTTAAAGATGAATTCTTTCTATTATTATATATCTATTATTAAATAACCATCCCAACATCCTTAACATATTAAAAAATTTGAATCTTGAGAAAAATGAAAGTTTATATTTAGAAATCCTCTTTATAATAAACTACTTTCAAAAACAACTCTGTTTGATTTCACTTCATATAATTTTATTCTTAAATCACTTTTTTATCTCCTTTTAATTCTCCCTGATATATTATTCTATTTTCTGATTTTCTCTTCAAAAATGGCTAAATATTAAAGATCATACGATAATCCAAAATCAAATATGTGAAAAAAATCATCAAAGTTATCATACTATCTCTCATTTGATTGATATTATCCTTCTATTTGATTATCTTAAATTTCTTCATTATTAACCTCATATTTCCACATAACAATAGCATCCAATGTTCTTTTTCTTAATTCCATATTATATATATACTAAGTTAATAATATATTTATTATTTAAAATAATATATACTAAATATATTAAACACAATAATAGAGAAATTAAATGTTTTTTATTCATTACTTTAATTGATTTGAAATTTATTGTTTTCTTTATAAAATTGGATATAATATTTAAAATTATGATTTTATGAGTTAAAATTTATTTGAAGTTTATCTATTTAACCTGAAACATATAATTAAACAAAATCTCTAACTTGAATGTCTAATCTATTTGTAAATTTAAGAGTGTAAATGAACCAAATAAGAATATTAACATTAAAATAACAATTTTTACTAAATTCTCATCTTTTATTATTAAAGAATAAATTAAATAAATAAAAATTATATCGTTTTAACTAACAATAAGTGTATATCTAATTTCTTATAAAAACTTCTAGAATATATTAATAATTATATTAATATTCTTTAAAGTTATCCTGTAAATTTAATATATATAAATTACATTAATAAAAAAAAATTAATATAATTTTACTATTGAAATACTAATCTTATTCGGGTTTATATTGTATAATTTGAAAATCTATTATTAAATAGAAATAAAATTAAATATAACTCATTTTTTTAATTTTCTATATCATTGTTAAATTATCAAAGAGAGAAAGATAAATTATATTTAGATTATAAACATTTCTGATTAATTTAAATAAGCTTATATTATTAAACATATTATAAGATATCAATAAATACTTTTTTATATCAAAATCAAAACACTATATTTAGAGTCAAAATCTAAATTTAAAAATTAAATATCTTTATAATAATTAAACCTAATATTATTTTATTGTTTCACAATATATTTCTAAAAAATAACTTTAAAGCTCATCTTACCAATTTCAATTAACTTTCAGAAATTATTATGATATTTTGTCTAATGGTATTATTTAAATAATCTTATAAAATGATTCCTCTTATATATGTAATAAACTATCCATATAACCAATATAATAATGTATAAATGTGAATTAAATATTTTATATTTTCATTTCTTTTTTTATTACAAATGGGTAATTAAAAATCAACATATAAGTGGTATAATTCTGAAAAATCAGATTTCTCAAATGTACTTGCAATAAACCATGATAACTCTGTACTTGTAGTAGGTATTAGAGAAGAAATCTAAATTTTCAAAATTTTGCATAACAAAGAATACAATGTTGAAATTTAACTGAATAAGAGGAAGAGGAACTTTTTGCAAGTGAAAGAAAAGCCTTAAGAAAACTTTTGATTTGTGATAGGAATATTTGCTAAGTCACAACTCTTTAATTTTAAAAATCTTAGACATGCAAATTTCTTTCTCTCTGGTTCAGAACATTTGATAAATATTTGGGCCCCAGATGATTAATTGATGCCATATTGTTGGTAATCAAAATATAAAATTGAATGGACCTAATCTATAATAAATTGTGTCATCATTCACCCAAATGAAAACCTTAGTATTAGAGGTGATAATGAAAATGTGAAATTTTGGTAATTACAAGAGTAGTATGTTTGTTAATAGATCATAAATGAACATAAAATGCCTATAATTGGTTTATCAATAAGCCCAGATGGAAGAAAAATAATTTCAATTGGAGCAGATAAAAATCTTTAAGTAATGGCAGATTCAGAAAAGAAATTTGGTAAATCCTTTTGAAGATTTAATTTAATGAATTATCTACTTCGGATTTGTTTTATCACTAATTAGATTTTTACTTTTCAATCATCTAAATCATATAAAGGAACTCAAAATTTATTGATATTCAAAATGGATATGAATTAGAAATTTTAGATTGCCAAAAATATATCTTTATAAGGAAAGGGTCAACATGATTTAGGGGATTGCCAACCAATTTATGTTACTTCTAAGCAAATATTAATTATCAAAAATGGTTATTTCATAAATATTATAAGATTTATTCTATACAATCCTTAATTTAAAGGATTAGATGGGGAATTCAACTATTAGTTAGAATAATCAATTATTTTTGGTTATGATTGTGTATATGGAACAATTAGTCATGATGGGCAATTCTTAATTACTTGGGATTATAGATCTCATACGACTTAAATAAAAAATATTATCAGAAGATTGATCAATAAATTAGAGCAAGTTTTATTAAAAATAATATTCATTATTAATTATAAAGAAATATTTTTATTATTTTATATTATAAAAATAATAAATTTGATTTATTTTATCAAATAATCATTTATTCAACACAAAATATTGCTAACTGCTGCAACATAATTATAGATTACAACTAAATTAATAAAGTGATTAATCAGTATAACTTGTTGATAAATATCAAGGAAAATAAGATATTTTAATTAATGACATTTATAAGAACTGAAGAAATGAATTTGTCAATAATTATAATAATAGGACCAATTTTAATTATAAATCTCATTTGATAGTAATTCTGCATCAACTGTAGTTCTATATTGAGCTTCTAATTTAGTCTTCGATAAAGTGTATATATCAAATAAGACATCTAATCTATGCTAAAAATATTTCAATTATATCTAAAATTACTTTAATTGCATAATAAATCATTATATGCCTTTTATTTTATTCTAAATTCAGCTTAATTTAGAAGGATATGTAATTTTTAGGCTAATATTTGATGGAAAAGGTGATTCCTTTCATGTTCATCTAAATAACAAATTAAATGGCAGATTCAATACTGGTTTAGACTTAATCATTTAAGATATTGCAATAATAGTAATGAGTAATTTCTAAAATTTTTTGAATTGCTTTTAAACATTCACATCATATTATTATTACTTGTTCAAATAACTTTTTTAAATATAAGTAATAAATTAATATTTTTTGTTATTGAATAATCTTTCAAACTTATAATTAGGACTCAAATAAATTATGTATTATTATAATTGATTATTCTGTTTAACAATTAATAGATTATGATTCACATTTAACAAATACCTTACATAGCAAAAGTATTAATTGTAAAAATTTTAATATAATTCTAAAATTTATTGATGAGATCATAAATTTTATATCAAATAATATGGCACTCTCACCTAATATCTTTATAAATTTATTAACAATAATAATTAGACTAGGTTTAATAATTATGCCAATTTTGATTATTCTTATGTCTCAAAATAATTACCAAATAAAAAAATAAAATTAAAGAAAGTAAATTGTGGTAAATCCACTTTAAAATTTTCATCCTCTAAACTTCTGGCTATGACCCAAAAAAGGTCACTTTTAAGCTTGGGAATCAAAAGGAAGGTCCTTATAACCCCGATTAGTAGTTTGGGGTGCCTCGAATAGGTACCTCATAATTAAATGATAATACTCATTCTTCCACCCAAACCCAAAACCCAAACCCAAACCCAAACCCAAACCCAACCCCAAACCCAAACCCAACCCCAAACCCAAACCCAACCCCAAATAAGTGACTCATCTCTGTATTCAGAAATTAATTGAAATATAGGAAACACTTGATACAGATTTTATTAAAAGAGGACCTAGGAATATCTTCCTATAATATGATGAAGATTAACTAAAATTTTTTCAAAAAAATCGTAAGGCTCTATCTTATGATTTGACTAAATTAAAAATTCTAGTAAATTACCTAACGAAAACAAAAGGAAAACTTGAATAGAATATTGAGGAACTTCTTGAGTTTGACTTCTTATTCTCTATGAGATTAGTTCCACTAAAGAAGGCTCATCCTAATCTACCAATAATTGATGAATTTAGGCCTATAATGGCAAATACTAAACTCTATATAAACAGGCAACACTTAGTACCTGTTATACGTTTTGGTGAAGTTCTTCTTAGTAGTAAAAATGAAGTGCAGGAGAAAAGCTTCTTCTAATTTAAAGCAATAAGGTTCTGATAATAAGAATCTAAATCTAAAGATCCCATAACAGAGACTTTTCTTCTTTGCTCTTATTTATAGAGTCCCATAAAAGTTTAACACCGATAAATTACATAAGATATCTCAAACAATAGTTGATTAATATACTATTATAATTATTCTAAGGTTTTCTACTTACCAGCTTCAAACATTAGGATTTTACCTTTTACCGCACCCTTTTCAAAAATATTTCTTAATATTGCTCTCAAGGTCAACATTCAATAATTATTCATTATGAGAGAAAGGAATTATCTCCTCCTTTTGGTAGGAATTTTCTTCACTTAAGAAATTTAAATTCTGAGATTTTGAGTTGCATAAGGTTTATATCTAATTTTGTTTTATTTATAAAAATCTTGCAGGTAGGAAAAAGTACTAAGCAAGGAGAGATAGAATAGAATAACACCTTGCACAGATAATAATGATTAAATCATTGTTGATCTAATGTCCTTCTGTCCAATATTACTTAATTAGTTTGTAACAATTTCTACCCAAGATTCCTAATTAGACAGTCAAGCCCAAAGAAATATTTAAAGTGTTCAACATAAGTAAGCCTTTAATCCTTAATAAATCAATTAGTGGGGATAAATCTGTGAAGTAGCAGCTCCATTAACTAAATTGACAAGATTATTATCTTCAAAAGCTTCTAGAACCTCCACTTAATTATCTACTCCTATAAGGAGAATAAGATTTATTAATTTTCACATAAAAAAAGTTACTTTTGCTAAAACATAGCTCTATTTTTTATTACTATTCTATTGAATATTTGTTATATAATCAGCTTAGAGGAAATTTAAATTAAATATAAAGTGTTTTATATAAGATAGAACAGTAAATTTTAGTTTGTTAGGTGATTTGAATTATTGTTTACCTTTTGAACTTATTAAATCTTATCCTCTTTCTGTTCTAAATATTTTAGATGAATGTCCTTTGAACTTTTTAGTATCTCTTTAAAATCCTTATATTTGCCCTATTAACAATTCTTATTTATCGTAATATAGTATCAAGAAATTTTTCTGTTTTTTGACGATTCATTATCCTACATCTTGCTCATAACACGTTAATTCAAATTGCTTAATCATAGTTATCTAATGTAATTTTGCTTTAGACTAATTTACGAGAGACTCTATCATTATTTCATAATTTGTTAGCAAATTTCTCAGAATTGAATTATTATCAGAATAATGAAAGTATATTAATTTAGCCCCTCTTATATGAATATTCCTCAAGCAATCTTAATGTGCTATTGGGATTAATAAATAAGTTAATAACCCCAAAACTGTATCAGTTTCCTCTATCTTTAGCTTGTATTCTTGAATCTTCCATTTCCTTCTAAATCCGAAAAATCCCTTAATTAAATTTGCATCTTCACCTGAAAAGCTTACCCTAGGATGTTCATCAAATATTTTTAGAATGCTAAGAATGCTTGGTTGAATTGTCTATATCCAAAACATCAAATAAAATAAATAATTGAGATTATCTATTTGATTGTCTTAATTATATTTCAAATTAATCTTAATTGTATCTATTTAGTATACAATTTTAATATAAATTATAATTCACATATTAATTTATTATGTTTTAGTTTTAGAAGAATAAGATTTTTATTTCAAAATTAAAGGGTTAAGAAGCATTATAAGATCTTGGCAAAGTTATCCATCGATATTCACTTAACAAAGAAGCATTAGAATAATGTCAATTATATCTTTTGCAAAGATTTCCTGAAACTCTTCACAATGAAAAAGGAAGTATATACTTCAATGTGTGTGATACACTTTTAATGAATTTGGAAATAAAAAAAATTCATATCTATTTTTAACATTTAGCAATTTATATAAATAATAAATCAGCAGTTTTTAAAAAATTAAAGATTCTTTTGATATATATTAAATTCAAAAATACTGATTTAATTATTCATAGAATCCTACAACATATCTTGTTATTTAATTTGCCTACTAAATATATAAACTTCATTATTTAAAATTACAATCTTTTTTTAATCCAATTATTAGAGTACATCAAATAAATCCATTAATTTTTTTAATTGACAATATTTTTTGGATTAGATATTTGAATTAGAAGAAATCTGTAATATTGATCTTTCTTTTTTGGCTTAAACTTATGAAACACAACAGCAAAGTAGCGAGTTAAAGAATTCCTTAAAAATTGCATTCCAGATGTTAGCAATTTTAAGTAATTCAAATAATATTACAAAGAACTTTCATTTTTTATAGTTATTTTGGATATTCCTTTTTAAACTAATATATATTCTTAAATTTGAATAAATTTACAATTATTCCATTTCATTTATAATATTTCTCTAAATCTATAAATTGAATTAATTTCCAAATATTATAAATAATTTAGTTCATGATGATACAATTCTGTTTTGACACACATTTCTGAACATTAGTAAAAAGAATGAAAATTCGTAATTTTCTTTTCATTTTATATATTGTTGTCAATAAATGATGATAGAATTAGGAGATTGATAAATCGATATATTAAATAATTTTTATTATAATTAATATATTTAAATGAATGAAGCCATACCTTGCAAAAAACATCCAATTTTTTTTACATAATGGGTTAGGATTCTTTAAGAGAATATTGATTTCGGATGTATCAAGTGTTTAGATAAAATTAATGATCGCGCACATATTCTATATATACCGGAAGTAAATTAATTAAACATCAATAGATTATTTAAAACCCAAGTATTCTAGTACCTCATATTCCAGTTGAATATTAATACACAACCCTTTATAACAATTTGAATGACTTTTCAGAAGAAACATTAGAAAAATATTATGGATAATTGGAAAAATCACTCATTTTTTTATGCGAATATCTAAAGAATTTTATTCAGAATGGAAGAGCCAGTCTAGAGGAATGCAAAACGAAATTTAAAGAATCCAGAGAAATGCTGTATTAAGTATAGAAAAGTTCTATATTTTTTAGTAATTCAAAATACATGAAATTTACTAATTAATTAAAGAATTAGGTTTATAAGAAAATGAAGATGTTTAGGATTAAATAGAAAAAAAATTGAATGATATAAGAGAAAAAGTGAATGAAGATTTATTGAAACAATAAAGCAGCAAGATTAAAACCATACTTAATGAAACCTAATTAGCAATATATAAGTACAATATTTTAGATATTTTAGATTTAATTTAAATTTTAATATATAAATCAAAGAAATATCAGTTTAAATCGATAGAAATGCATAAGAGTTATAAAATTACTTCAGTACATCATTTCACTCTATATATTATGCAAGATAACAATTTAATCCTTATAGCACAAACTAAAACTTATAAAGAAATCAAGAATCTAGATTATGGGTATAAAGCCAAAGTAATTCAGACTTTGTTTAAATGGAAAGATCCAAGTTTTCCTTTTCAGACAACAATCTCCCTTATTATAGTTCAATGATTTTACCACAATACTATTTTGAATACATTTTAAATTATGCTAGTGATTATCAAAATAACAATACTTTTTTGAAAGCCTATAGTATATTTGAGCCAAAAAATTAAGAAATTGTAAATGGATAGCAATTCTGGAATTAGAATCCCAATTAATGAAGCTTTGGAAGTTATTAAGAGTAACATACTAAATTAATAATTTTTAAATCTAACAACAAGGGAAACCCTATTTTTGGTTATTTCAAATCATATTACTGGGAATTTATTTTTTCATATACTCATAATGAAATTTATCCAAATAAGTAAATGGAAAAAAGAATGCAAAAATAAGCCAAAAATTAAATTGATAGTTTTATAGTAGGGAATTATGATATGGAAATACATGCTAATTTGATTGATGGAAAATCGATGTTGGGTAAGGATTTCACATGGGATAGTTAAAATAATGAAATAGATAAGAGTGAGTATTTGTTTGGAGGAGCTAAGCCAAATATTCAGATATGTGAAATATTTTATTTTTGAGATAATAAAATATATCCAAAAGAATAATATTCATAAAACATTATTTTCCTAATATTCAAATTATAAATATTTGTATTTATAATGAAATTCATTAGTAGATGTCCACAGTATATCTATGTATTTTGTTTAAAACCATGGATTTTATCAATTCTCTTTTAATTTGATTAATTATTTAGCAAAAAACAATCAGAAAAGTATAAATTCTTTTTAATTATAAGAATTTTAATTTATCTTCCTAAATTATTTCTACCCATGATAATAATATCAAAATATTTAAACAATTTTCTTTTGAATAAATATTCTTTTTTATAATGTTTGGAAATTAATATAAAATGATATTATTTTTGAATAGATACATTAAAATTTTGCATCATTTCAAACTGCCTATCCATTAATAAAAAAGGCCATAATTTTTGGATGTAAACATATAAAACAGCAAAATCTAAAATTATGTCTTTTTTGTAAGGATTTAGAGCAGGATTTATGAGCTTAAGTTCAATCGAAGAAAGGCAAAGAAAGAATTAGGCTTTATATTTATTGACAAGATCAATGGATAATACATTTAATTCTTTAATAAATAAAAATCTTTTACAAAATGAAACTATTATTAGAGTCAATGAGTGATGATGGATATAAAGGAATAATAAAAGTAGAAGTATAACCGATTATGATAATTGAAAACTATTATCATTAAAAATAACATCAACTAATATTTTTTAAGAATTTTCTTTTTAATGTTAGAGGTTTGACTGTTTCATGAAGTTTCTATTTATTTTTCTGCTTTATTTCTTCGTTGGCAGTAATAACTGAATAAACTTGTCTAAATTGGTAAGGGATTCTTGAGTAATCACATTTTCTTAAAGAAAAAAATTATTAATTTAAAATTTTTTTATTTTCTTTTCTGAATTAATATAGGTATTTATTCAAAAAACTTAATGGTTCATTAAAATTTTTAATAAGTTGTAAAACTTAAAGAGCAAATTTTAATCTTTAAAAATACATAGTTATTTGGTATTCCTTATTTTATTTATCAATAGTCTATTTTTAATCTAGATTTAATTAAATATATTATTTTTTTTTTGATTTAGAATTTTTTATTTTTATTAGATATCTTGGTTGAAGATGAAGTTATTTATTTTAATAATATATGGTTTAATATTTTAATGATTATTCATATTTAATGATATTTTCTAATCTAGATGCTTTTCAACTACTACTCCATGTTATTAAATACTATCCATCATCACTCATACTTCCAAATAAATCATCATTTCCAATTTAAGTAAATAAATTCTCCATTTTTCATTATCCTTATAAAATGCACATATTAATTATTTTTATTAACAAGCAGACATTTTTATTTTATAAACTATAAAGGAAATAGATAATAATCACTATTTTCTCCCTTAATATCAATATGTTTTGTCTTTAAATACTTATGTAAATCCTCTTTTTTTGTATATTATTTTTCAAAATTCAAATTTTTGTTAAAGATTTTTCTTAATGAATCAACTCATAAAAAATTTTTAATTATTAATTTATTGTTAGAAAAATCTTGCTTACAAATGATAAAAAGTATTAAAATGCATATAAATGAATAATTTAATGAAATGTATTTTTCGATTAAAGAATAAACATTTCTATACAATATTAAATTTAAATTCCATAAATTAATTATTTAAACTTTTACCATATTAATTAAAGATTTCGCTTATCTTAAAACTCAGTACATTCAAATTTTTCAAAAATTAAATTACTTTAAGTAGAATGAAGAATAAATGAGCAATATCTATATTAACTTCTTTTTATCATTTTTAGTAAAATCAGTAAACTATCAAAATGCAATAAAAAGAGTCGATTATAATATTGGATCAAAATTATTTTCTTGCAGATATAATCAAATACTAATAGGACAAATTTAATATCGAATATATACTAGAAAAATTGTTATTTAGATTCCTAAAGTTGAAAAGGTTTAGTTATAGCATATTTAAATATTTTTATTGTTAATTAATCTAATTTAATTTTCATAAAATGATTATTAACTTCTTAAATTCTTCTGATTATTTAATTTCAATTTTTTCGCTAATTAAATAGGAAATTATGATTAAAAAATTGAAAGCCTAAAAAAATTCTTTAGAGATTCATGACATTTTTATTATAAAGATATATTCAAAATTATAAACCTAATATGATAATTGCTAAATTCAATCACTTTTAAACGGTGAAATAATAAATAATTGCTTTCTCAAAAAATTACATATATGGAGATGATCTTTCAAAATAATAAAAAAAAAATTTTCTTATAACTTTTTGACCCATTTTCATTATATTATTGAATCTCTTATCATTAACCTATCAATGAGATTTATAAATTGTGATGTTAAATTGATAATTTAAGATCAAATCTAATATCGATTTGATAGTTTCAATCATATGATTTAGTGTATCTCTAGTGGAAAAGAGGATCAGTAACTCACTTTGAAAATCTGAATATAAGAATTCTAAAATAAGATAAATCTTGTTTATAAGATATGATTTAATTCAATAGAGTAAACTTTTAGGAAAGCCTAATAACTTTTTTTCAAACACAATAAGTGAATTTTGGAATAAATGATCAAAATGAGCACTTTTACTATAAATAAATAAACTTGAATTTAGTTCTCTTTAGAGATTAAAGTTTTGGTATAATATAAATAATGAATAAGCACTTAATAGATATGAGAAATGTTTTTATTTGTTTTATTAAAGAGATTTAAATCTTTTACTGTAGTTAACTAACATCTTAAAACATGAAGCAATTTAAGAAAATGAATAGTCAATTATTTATGCAAAATAAATATTGGAAGGATTAGTTTCAAATAATCAAAAAATTATTCTATATTTTCTTTAAGCATTTTCTTACACCTCACTATATTACAATCTAAAAAAATATTAATAATATAAACTTTCTATTATTTTCTTTGATTAGATTAAAATATTTAATGAAATTATTGCTTTTGTTTTTCTTATTAGGGTTCTCAGATTTTTAAACATTACCAGCTTCTAATGCTAATGCAAAATTTTCTTAAAATGATCTTTATGTTTTAAGTGAAAAATCAATTATTAGGGGACATTACAAAGATGTAGCTTCGTAGTTCAATGGTGCTTTACTATCCTAAGCAAGAACGACTTGGTATTGGGAACAAGGAGCTGATAATAGTCCTTTAAGAAATTTGCTCTATCATTACCCTGAACCTGTTAAATAAGGACATGTTGTGGCGGAACTTGGTGAATCAATGATTGTGTATTTTTTATAAGCATATGAAATAAATACTGTCTATATTTGAATTTTATTAAGTATTTGAAAACATTAGTAATTCAAATAGTCTATTCCAATTAGTTATAATAATTTTATTATGGATTAAGAAATAAAAGATGTCAAACAAAAAAAAAAATAGTTTGTAATGTTATTGTCAAATACATAAATTAAATAGCTGGCCTCTTCCTAATTTAAAGTAGTAATTTGGAAATGAATCAATTAGACGTCTTATGAGGAAAATGAATTCATCTAAGAATAGTATATAATCCTTTAAAAAGTAATAAAGCCAAAACTAGGCAAGAGAGTAATTATAAATGATGAGAGCGATTTCTTTTTTCAAGCAAATAAATCCAATCAGATAGTTAGCTATTTAATTAGGTGATATTATTGAAAATCACTCTGAGATTCACTAAAAATGAGAAAAAGTTTGAATTTACTTAAATATTGCTCAGATTTTACACATAACTTAAAATTAATATTTATATAAATATTATATGGATTTAAATTGATATTCAAAATTAAGAAATGGAAAGCTTTTTGTGAATAGAATAACTTGATCAATTATGATGAATGTAGAGATAGTTAAACAAATTATTAAATTTAATGTTTATAAGAATGCATTGATTATCAATTTTGGAAACTCCTAAAATTTAAAATTGGATATTGAATTAATTTTTCACGAATAAAGTATAAATTTATTGTTACTTTTAATGAAATTTTTGATGATGGGAATTTAGAATAATTTGATTGATGTTTTAATTGTAATTATTCTTGTGATTGTGATGATTAATTTGAGATGCAATCAAAGGTTTTTGCCTTAAATGTTTAATGGAAGTTAATTTAGTAAAGCTAACAATAAATTGAGCTTAAATTTTTTCTGGTGATGAGTGATGTGATGATGGCAATTACTTTAAATATAATGAATTTTATTAGGTTATATGGATATTAAATGTGAAAAAGGAATTTTTTATGAATGTAATACTGAGATTTTATGCAAAATAAGCCTATTGTAATAACGGGCATTAATTCTTTAAAGATGATTGGCTAACTCTAAAGTCGATAAAGAGTTTAGTTCTAAAATTAAATATAATAAATATATTAATAAATTAGAAATTATTTTTTTAGAATTAAGCTCATCAATGAAAAACTAGATAGCTAGGTAGATTTTAGTTAATTAAATATGAAAATTAACAACTTAAGAACTTATTTTACAATGTTTTTGATTGTATTTTGGACCAACAAAATACAAGTCTTTTGTGATTAATATTACTAGGGTAAGAGTTTATAAGTGTAAACATGTTTTCTTAATAATTGGCTGATAATAAATAGAAGAATGAGGATAACATGAGTATGCTTAGATTGACACGCTCTGCAAATTGAGTTATGTATATGTTGAATATAAGAGATGATTTTATTTAAGTATCTGATAAACTTATAGATTTTGAAAAAAAATAATTTAATATAACCAAAAATAAAAAATATTTATTTTGATTCCTTAAAAAAAAAACATAGAAAATAATATAGTACAATAATCAAGTATTAATTAATTTTGTTAAATAAATGGATTAATACCGAATAATTTTAAGCATTTTTAAGAATATCTAATTTATAGACTTAAGCAAGATTAACAGAATAATAAGATTATTATAATTATATATTATGATAGATTAATTAAATAAAGCTTTATTATTAACATTTATATCTCTAGTGAACGTCTTCTCCTATTCAAATAGATTGTTACTTCTGAAAAGCCACACAATTTGGTATTCTTGTATAAAGGCTGAATATCAGAAATAGCATAAAATTTTATGAAAATCATAATCCTTAAATTTAATGAAATTAATAAGTTTCTTACATTCTGTCCAGCAAAAGAAATCAAAGGAGGATCTTCTTATAACATACTTTAGTCTATATAAATGTATCATGATTATTCTCATAATCTGTATTTGATACAAGGATTTTTTCATTAGATATATTTTTTCCTAATTACTACATTCTTTTCATTTCAGCTTCTGAATATTATGTGTAAAAATTAATTAGGCTTCAAAATAATTATGTATCTCTATCCCTAACTTTTCTTAGTTTCTTACTTTATCCATTATCGCCTGCAAATGTTTGACATAACCATCATTATTTAAGTATTAATTTATAAAGATAGTGTTCTTTTTATAAATCATTTTCTAAAGAAGTGTATCTTCCTATCATAAATTTTAAATAGAAATTCTATTAGAGAAATTAATTTCCATCTTTGACTTATATCTAATTGTTAGTTTTTCTATGAGACAGTTTTCGGAATCTTAGGAGTTCTTTTC